CACACACACACACACACACACACACACACACACACACACACACCTGAGACTCACATTCACACTAACTACACCTGCATCTTAACATCACATATATATTTTTATTGAAAGTCATGAAAACACTATCGTGGAGTTTTTCTTTTGCTATCTGAGCAAATGAGAATGCAAAAACTATATCTGTGGTACTCTCCCATTCACTGCTCTTCAAGTTAACCCAACTATGACGACTTCCGCTGCTGAGAGACCCGGAAATGTGAAAAAGCTCCAATAAAAACTAATTACGATTTTACTTTTTAAATTTAGAATTGTGAATTATAAACACCGAATTGCGAGACATATCAACTCGCAATTACCCTTTTTATTTTTTATTTGGTGGCTAAAAAGTGGAGAACTAAATTCAGAATTCTGAGATAAAAAGACGCAATCACGAAATCGGAATTGCGAGAAAGTCAGATTTGCGTCAGTTTATATGTCAGATAAATATCAGAATTGCAAGAGAAAAAGTCTGAATTGTTACCGCAAACAAAACAAAAAAAATCGCAATAACCATTTTAATTGTATTCTGTAGTGAAAACGGGCTTCCATAGAATTGCAATAGCCTATGTAAACTCAGAATTCTGACCGAAAAAATACAATTGGACGATATAAACTCAGAATTGCTAGAAAAAGTGCGGACTGTAAGATAAAATTACATTTATTGTTATTATTATTATTAGCTATTATATGACGTGGCGGAAACAAGCTAATATCAGTCATACTGATAATTTTTTTAACACTGTAAGCTATTTGATTCTTGCTATGGAAATTACTGCGGTTTAATATTGTAAACGCAACAAATTTTCATACGGTAATACCATAGTGATGATCATAATTGCACTGTATTTTATGTATAATAATTTTATATTTTTCTATTTTTCAATTCATTTTAAAGCAGCACTATGTAACTTTTTCTGTGTTCAAATAATGAGCGAGTACATCATGAATTCATCTTCCACACACACACACACACACACACACACACACACCTGAGACTCACATTCACACTAACTACACCTGCATCTTAACATCACATATATATTTTTATTGAAAGTCATGAAAACACTATCGTGGAGTTTTTCTTTTGCTATCTGAGCAAATGAGAATGCAAAAACTATATCTGTGGTACTCTCCCATTCACTGCTCTTCAAGTTAACCCAACTAAGACGACTTCCGCTGCTGAGAGACCCGGAAATGTGAAAAAGCTCCAATAAAAACTAATTACGATTTTACTTTTTAAATTTAGAATTGTGAATTATAAACACCGAATTGCGAGGCATATCAACTCGCAATTACCCTTTTTATTTTTTATTTGGTGGCTAAAAAGTGGAGAACTAAATTCAGAATTCTGAGATAAAAAGACGCAATCACGAAATCGGAATTGCGAGAAAGTCAGATTTGCGTCAGTTTATATGTCAGATAAATATCAGAATTGCAAGAGAAAAAGTCTGAATTGTTACCGCAAACAAAACAAAAAAAATCGCAATAACCATTTTAATTGTATTCTGTAGTGAAAACGGGCTTCCATAGAATTGCAATAGCCTATGTAAACTCAGAATTCTGACCGAAAAAATACAATTGGACGATATAAACTCAGAATTGCTAGAAAAAGTGCGGACTGTAAGATAAAATTACATTTATTGTTATTATTATTATTAGCTATTATATGACGTGGCGGAAACAAGCTAATATCAGTCATACTGATAATTTTTTTAACACTGTAAGCTATTTGATTCTTGCTATGGAAATTACTGCGGTTTAATATTGTAAACGCAACAAATTTTCATACGGTAATACCATAGTGATGATCATAATTGCACTGTATTTTATGTATAATAATTTTATATTTTTCTATTTTTCAATTCATTTTAAAGCAGCACTATGTAACTTTTTCTGTGTTCAAATAATGAGCGAGTACATCATGAATTCATCTTCCAAACCGCGTTTTTGTCTTATTCCGAATCACTACGGTACACTTATAGTAAGTACTTATATTTGGACTATTGTAACCTGGTCACCGCTGCGGAGTAACACACACCTGCGTGAATCGCCAGAGACATAAACTTAGAGAAGTAGCTCCGGTTAGAATGTTCTTCCGCGGGATGTGTGCAGTTCTGTTTATTAACCGCTAGAGCGACAAAGGCTACATAGTGCTGCTTTAAATAAATTTTTATATCATTTTAAAAGTTTTTAAATTCCTTTTTTTAATATTATGATTTTGTAAAATTATTATTTTACTTTATTTTATGTAAAGCACTTTGAATTACCATTGTGTATGAAATGTGCTATATAAATAAACTTTGCCTTGCCATAATATAACATATTTACGTGACACGTTTTAAAATACCACATATTGCAATAATGGTCGTGTCCAAAACAACATAAACAACAATAAATCAAAAACGTGATTAAAGTGAAACAGAATTTGACTGATAAAGTGCTTTGTTTAATTTCTTATTATTTAAATGAGTCTTTCTCTCGTTTAGATTGAATAGTGAACAAGAATCATGAAGAGTCATTTTTGATTTGATTCAAACTAAACGATTCACTCACACAATGAACGATGCCATGGTTGCCATGGTGAAGAAGCTGAGGGCGGAGCTTGTTTGAAATCAGTGATCACATTAAAACACACACATTATTAATTATTATTATTATTATAAACATCTCAGGATCTCCATCAGACAGACTCTGAGGCGCTGTGCGTTCAGTCAACAGATCTTTATTAAACCAAACACACAGAACTATTCTCTCGACTGGAATGCCTTTATATGCTCCGCTAATCTGCATTTACATTCATAATAAATATGAGATTCATTCTGCGGTCGACACTCATGTATTGATCAGCTCCTCTGACTCTTATTGCTGTTTTTTCTTTCAAATCTATTAAAACTCAATGATAACAATGTGTGTGTGGGCGGAGTCTGTGACCAGACCTGCTCTCATTGGCTGCTTTCAGGAAAGTGCAACATGCAGGGAAAGAATGCCAGCGTTTCCTGTCCAACATACACACACACACACACACACACACACACACACACACACACACACACACACACACAA